GTGACGAAAACAGAATTAGTAGGGCATATAGTTTTGGAATCTGACAATGTAAATGTCAGTTTGATAAAGAAAACGAAAGCAATGAATGAAGAAAATAATTGAATGCAATTTAAAATATATCATATTAACAATATGATCCATTCATGCCTTTTCCAAATATTGCAATGGCGACCCACAAAATATTGCTTCACGTACCATCTAGCGTTTGAAAAGGTCAGCAACAATCATTCAATTACAATCTAGGGGTGTAAATAAAGCATTTATTACAAAAGTAAGAGTCACATTATTTTCATTAATTACATTGTGTATATTACTTTAAAATTTGTCTGTCATGTCACTGTTGTCATCAAATAAAATAATATGCTGAAATACGTTCATTTGAAACATTAAACAAATTTTCATTTGGTTTACCCCTCGTGACGATAAGCAAATAAATTGGTAGACTTTTTGGCCACAGAGGTGCTTTCATCGCTAAAAATGTGGTTCGCCAGCTAAGCGAAAGAAAGGATTAACAATATAATAAATTTGGCAATATTTAAATAAAGAAATGATCTCGTTTTCTACCAGTTCACTTAAGTTTTGGCTATTTTCTTAAATCACTGATGGCTTTCTGCAGGGCACTTTTCTCTTTGCAATGGTAATGAAATTGACCAGGATCTTGCTACCGTAGTACCAACAATCAATACGAAACTAACGACTCACTACTTGACTAGCCTATTGGTCCCAAGCAAACGATTAACGTATCCCATTATAGTCTAAATTCTAGTACTACGCAATGTTTGTTTTGATTCGCTATGAAAGTTTGACAGATAAAATCAGGGGTGATTGGTTTTTCCTATGTTTCGAGGGGTGAATCGATTAGCTTGGGACTGAAGATAGTACCAGAGCTGAGCCAAAAAGTTGAGCACGTTATTTCGGGACCTTCTAGTCTTAGAGTTATTGGTAGTACTGGGCATCCAGATGCTTAGAGCAAGCGAATGGATATTCCCTTCCGGCTACCAGCTCCGGTGGGTACTTGAGGATGAATCCTGTAAGGATCTCGATTTCTAGAACAGAAAAATACAAACGTAAAAACTATTCCACCAAAGTGCCAGAGACGCCCCCTTAGCCCCATTTTGAATCAAAACAGCAACGTTATTGCGTGATGTTTGTTTTGTTAGCAGGTTCTCTGATGAATTGAGTGTATTTTACGGCAAAGATCACCGGCTGAAAAAACTAACGTTCCTTTACACCAAAAACATTGATTGCTTGGGATGCGCTGTCAAAACAATCGAGATAATAAAATCGTTCATCAGAGAGCAAAAGAGTTCCTCAGAGTTACTCTGGATTGCTCTTATTTTCTCACTGTCTTCCCCTTCGGACAGCCATACCGGAAATTTGTCAGTCATTTATGTCACACAATGACCTTCTCTATCCTAAATTGCTTTCCGTGCATCTGGTGGTGGGTTTTGTAGACTTCATTGGGATGGATAGCTGCGTTGGTGAAGATGTTTCCTCGTAGGGTCTTCAAATGGCCGCCACGTAGGCTATACATGCACTTCGACTTCGAATTTTCAATTACACAAATCTCGGAAATCCGTGCATTAACGTTAAAATGTTGCACGTGTCGTAGAAGCATATGTAAGTTTCGAAGTGGTTACGAGAATAAGAATGTCACAGCGTCTCTACTCTGGCCTACTTTAGGCAGTTTTGCTTACAGATTACACTGCACTGCACGACTATCTGCACATTTGTTACTCAAATTACGACAGTAATTATTACCAACATTACATAACAATAATTATTAACACGATACTTTCAAAAACACTCTAAACTGAAACGCGAACGAATTTCAAACAACACTTATATCCAATGAGCTGGATTACAGAGGTGAAGCAATCGGTTAAGTTGTGTGAGTAAAACCCCTGTACGATACAAGCAATTAGTGACGTCACTACTTGCGTTTACGTTGATTTTTTGGTTTACTACAAGGGGTAGGTCACTCCGCACACCAATCTAGGGTCATCTTTGTTGTCAGTGTGCCGCAAGTATGCTGATTGTGCCGGTCATAGAGCAAACTGCGATTGTTTGTAAAATACCCATCCCGGCAACCCGGTATTTCTGACACCTTGAATGTTTTGGTTTGAAATCGCAAGGATAAATCGGATTGAGGATGACGCGGGAAGCATCTGTATCCACTCTATTAAAAAATCTGTATTTTCTGTATTGACGATTTTTTTCTTAATTAATCATGTTTTGTTGTTTTACAAATACAGTGCATACAAAATAACCATAAAAAGTGCTTAACCACCTATTCGAGCTATCGTACTAACCATACGGGATATAATTGCGCCATTTGTGATATCGTCCGTACTTATTTATTAGAGTTATATGATGCCGTTTGAAAATGTATGGAGATTTTAGTTTCTATTCATTATCTTCCTGATAAGCAGTTTTAAATGCAAAAAAGTGCACGAGTTCATTACTATTTGATATTTTTAATATAGATGAATACAATTAATTACATCATTTGTGTGGTAGTTACACCGAAAAGTCGAGAGATGTCGCCCCGCCAGTGCTGGTAAAATCATTTTTGCAGTATGGAGAATATCAGAAAATCCGCAATTTCTTACGAAATACATTTTCAATGCAAGTAAAATGTTTACGAGTACTTGTATTTGTACCATTTTAATGTGCTCGGGCACTTTTCTTGTATTTAACATACATGCTTATATTGGAAATATTCAATTAATACTGTAAATCCCCATACAATCTCAAATCGTTTACTACCAGCTCCATATGCATCCGAAAGCGGTTGGTCCTCTGGTTGTGAATGCTGTCAAAAACACCATAACATGATTAATTGTCGATGGAAATTTGATAGGTTCCCGAGCAGAGGGTGCGAACAAAATGAAAACAAGAATTATGTTGTTTTCATTATTCCTGATAACTCAAATTGATTTCATTTTGATGGAGTTTATGGCTAACAGAACAAAAATGAGAGCTAAAAGATATGCGAAGAATATCAAAATTATAACATATATTGATATTAATGAGAACTGCTTGATAACTTATTTTGATATAGATTTTTTTTCTCAAGCATTTTATAAAAATCTGTATAAATCTGTATTGTAATTTAAAAATCTGTGATAAATCTGTATTCTGTATCGGGTCTGTATTAAGATTAAAAAATCTGTATAATACAGATAAATCTGTATAAATGGCAGCGCTGGCGGGAAGTGGCGGGTGTGTGAATTTTCGGTGTTTTGTGATCCATAGGGTAATAAAAGTCCTGTGTTTTAGTGTTAATGCCCTCAAAGGGAGACCAGAAATCTAGCCTTTCGGCCGGAAAGAGTTGGAACCGGTGGGGAGCATTGTCAGAGACAGACTGTAGAGGGGGATGAATAGAATTCTTTAGTTTGTTTTGTGTGATTTGCAACATTATTTGAAATAAGGGTATTAATGAGGTCTGATTAACTGCCTCTTTCTCTTGAGCCAACTCTAGAACCTACATTTCATATTTAGACCTATAAGTGAACTGCTGGTCTGAGTTCCTCTGGTATACATACAGCCAAACAGAACGTAATGTTCTGAACAACTTCAATGACAGTTGTCCAGCAGTGCTACCATTTTATTTACAACAATCTAATGCCTACGAGATTGTGCCGAAGGTATGCCGAAAATGTGCCGATGGATGTGCCCAAGGTGTGTAGAATATAATTCCGGCACAATGTGCTGAGTGACTTACCCCTTGGTTTACTAATACAACAATATTTCACGATCTGCTTCACCTCTCTCTGTACCTCATTGACTTATATCCACCTTATATCCATATAGCAACCGTTTATGAGAATACAAAATTCGATGAAAAATGTAAACATTATACCAGACGTAAAAAAAACTGCTATCAGTACAATCGCTACATTGGTTCCAGGGTTCCTATCGAAAGACAAATAGCGTTGCGTATTTTTCGCTAACAAATGGTAAACACGATAAATTGCAACTGGACGACATCCACCTTCCTACCGAAGAAGTGCTGATAATATTCTGTCTCGATGACGCAGCAGCTGTACTCAGTGTACAAATAGTAGGCACCGAAGAAGCCGGTTGTGATAATTGTGATGGTGATTGAGCACCAAGCGGTGGTTTGTGTGTTGATAAGGCCCGGCTTGTTAAGTGCTTGTGTGCTTTGTTTACCAAGCGCACGTTTTAGCACTATTATAGTAAAATACGGGCTACAATTAAGAATGTCTCGGAGCAGAGTACCTGACCACCGTGTGTGTGTGTGTGTTTTTTTTTTAACGAGCATTTATTTATTATCATCGTTATATAAAGCACGTGCCATGAACACGCATTAGCAACCGGAAGGTAGTAGACTGTAAGTTTGCAGTTGATACTTCATAGCCAGAATCAAACAAAGATGGTTCCAAAATTTCACAACTGCAAAAATTCTAATCTTTTAAATCATCCTTGTTTGTTATCGAACGTGGAAAACAAAGACTTAGTTATCAAATCATCTTCAAAATAGCACACCACTGATAAGAACTGACCACAGTCCATTCCAATGAGCGACCCGTTTTGTTAACATTGCTCTGAAATGAGCTCTAATTAAGTTGGTAGTAAACATTTACTGCCAATTAAAAACAGACGCTTCGAAATTTACAATGGCTTGTAGTATGATGAAGACGATGAAAATCCGCGGGACTGTTCAGTACTGCATTGATTCTCCATTCAGGTACTGTTTGGGCCATAACAACGATAACAGTAGGTCTGTTCCCGTACTTGCTTTTTTGCTTTTGCTGTAGGTTGCTGCCGCTTTCTGTAAGTTGAGGGTTGCTGTAAGAAAATAATGTGGTACAGTATACGGGAACATGTTTTTGCTTTTTGCCGTACAGAATCTTACAGAAAAGCAAGTACGGGAATACACATAATAATTGGTAGGAATTTACATAAATTTCAGACATCGAACTTAGATGGATACCTACATACTTAAAAATCGTTTTTCTCTCTTCCACTTCCAGACCGACGTCAGTGCGGACAAGATGGACGAGGAAGCCTCGGATTTCTGTCAACGATTCAACGAAATGCGTCACCGTAGCCATCTGGTCGATTGTTCCTTTAAGGTAGACGACAAAATCTACAACTGCCATAAGCTCATCCTATCCGCCGCTAGTCCGGTATTCGAGGCCATGTTCTACGGTTCCCTTGCCGAGAAGCAAACGGTCAAAATCGCAGACATTCGACCGGCCGTGTTTGAACGGATGTTGGACTTCATCTACGTGGGAACGATAGATTTCGACTGTATTCTTCATATTGAAGAAATTCTAGAGCTTTACTACTGCGCACAGAAGTACATGATCGATAGTCTTCACAAGCAGTGCGTCAACTATTTTGGTAAAAGTATCAAACCGAACAATGTTCTGAAAATTCTCGACATAGCCTATAGAATGAACCTGGAGGATATTATCTTTTCGTGTTTGTGTGTGCTGAAGCACTTCCTGACTTCGGGGATGAGTCTCAGCAACATCATCCTGGAGAGTAGCCATCACCTTTCGAAGAGCTGTGTAGATCTGATTCTAGAGGACAACTACGAGGTTAAGGATAACATTATCTGTATGATTCGTGCCTGGTGCATTATCGAATGTGAACAGAATCGTCTCGAAGTCAATAGCGACAGCTTGAAAACGGTACTGCAAGATATTGAGCTTCCGGAAAAGTTAAAAGACACCATCATAGACTGCAGTTTTACCAGTTTCCAGCCAGTGACTGATGAAAACAAGTATCACTGGACGCCGATTCAACGGATCCACTACAAGGCGGTCCGACCGCTGATCATCGGCGATGAAATGCGCTTTGAAGCCAGCATCACCTGTAACAGGTTCATCGTGTTGAAATCTCTCTCAATCAACAGCCGACTGATGCCTCAATTTCTCCCGATGGATCACCACCGCGATACGTATACGGAGAACATTGCGGTGGAGATTTGCTCCAATTTTAACGGTAAAATCGAACCGATCTACCAGGAGCAATACCTGATGTGCGACGTTCCCTTCAACAACAACTTGGACCTGAAATTGGAAAATCAAATCGTCCTCTTTCCGGACATTGCCTATTTGGTACGACTGAAGTGGGGTCCCGATAGCCTTGGGTACGAGTACCCACGTAGCATTTTATCATCGTATGGAAAGAGCAAGCAGTTCAGGGTGAATTTTAGCGAGAATATATACCTCGAAACCGAAGGCAGTATTTTAAATGGAATCATTTGTGATCTGTACAAGTAAGGGCGGAAGCTGTCGGAATTGAAGGCATGAATTAGCTTTGCCAAGTGAAATGTATGATTTATTCTCGATATAAAAAATAACTTGCAAACAAGTGAATGCTAACTGTGCTGAGATATTTGTTAACAGTTTAAAATAAGATTTCATCATTTTACGCTATCATTAAATTATTGAATCGAAGATTGAAATTACCTGTATCAGATAATTGAAGCAACACATAAGTATGCTGATTATTGCAGAATAAAATATGTTTAAAAGTGGGGTTGTGCTATTCATTTTGGTCCGAAAATATTTATGATGATGATGATGATGATGGTCCCAGCTCTTAACCCTACAAAGGTTTGAGCTGGACGATTTATCTTTAAGATAATTAAATAAGTCAATTTAACTAGGTTTGCAAACAAAATCGATTTGGTTTCAGTTACAGATATAAATTTCCTCTAGAGTTTACAGTTGCTTCACAGCGATACAAATGTGGAAAAGCTCAGGTGTGCACCCCTTAGGTCACCTTTTTGTCGTCCTAAAATATAAATAAGTATTACAAGCAATCACGAGTTCTAGTATTATATCTATGAAAGTCGCTTTCTCTTTAAATTCGATCACACAAATATCAAGGTAGCAAACCGTCAACTACTTTAAAAATGAACACCATAGTCAAATATACAATTCTTTGCTTCACCAACAACCATTGTAACATAGATGTAACTCTATTACAAGAAGATCCCGAAGAAACGTGCTCAACTTTTTGGCTCAGCTCTGGTATTCTCTTCGGTCCCAAGCTAATCGATGCTCCCCTCGAAACATAGGGAAATCCACGAGCCCCTCATTTTATCTGTCAAACTTTCATAGCGAAGCAAAACAAACATAGTGTAGTACTGGAATTTCGTCTAGAATGGGATACGTTAATCGATTTGCTTGGGACCAATAGGCTAGTCAAGTAGTGAACCAATTTCAAATCGATAGTTTCGTATTGATTGTTGATTGTAAGGCGTCTAGTATCAAAGTTGAGGAAGTGAAAAAGTCTAGATGAGGAGAGATAAATGATTTGTATAGCTGTATATTACTGGCGATAGTTAAATCGTTTTTCAGTCGACATAGAATTCCATACTTCTTGGCAATGTTCTTGATGACATTGTCAATTTGAGAGTTGAACTTAAGTTTGTCATCAATAATCACGCCAAGATATTTAATCTCCCGAACGCGATCAATAGTCTCATCATCAATTACAACAGAGACGTTCTCATTTAATTGATTCCGGTAAACTACCATAAATGTAGCTTTACTTGTATTCAATTTCAACTGCTTATATATTACCATCTACTTAGAGAACGCAAATCTTCATTCAAGTGTAAAACGGCATCATCTAAATCCTTAGCTGCAATGAACAACACAGTATCATCTGCAAAAAGTTTAATGTCGCAAAATCGTAAAACACGTCGCAAGTCATTAATATACATAATAAATAACAGGGGCCTTAATACACTTCCTTGGGGCACTCCAAGATTATTCCCCACGGGACTGAAAACAGAATCATTAAAAACAGTCCGTTGAGTTCTGTCAGACAAATACCATTTATATGCAGTACTCGTAATTCCAACGCGCTTGATTGATCTAATAAGGGCCTAGAATTTGTTTCAATAGTACGTTTTAGATAAAAAAAACAGCAACAATCGTACCTTTACAAGTTATTTTTCCACTTCGCTAATAACAAATTCAACGCGGTTTCACAAGAATGATCTTCCCGATATCCCGATTGTTCGGGTATCAAAAAACTATTACTATTTAAATACTCCAACAGCTGGCCTTTAACAACAAGTTCTAAAATTTTCTCTAATGTGAGCAACATGTTGATGGGACAAAACTCTTCGGCTTTAATCGTTCCAGCAACTTTTTGAATATGGACCACTAAGGATTCCTTCCAAATTTGTGGCACATGTCCAGTTTGTAATGATTCATTAATAAGGGTCTGTTCATAAACTACGTAGACAGTTTTTTTGTGATTCTTGACTCCCCCCTCCCCCTGCGTAGACAAATGTCCATACAAAAAATTTAAAATTTGTATGGGCCGTGGATAATTCTCAACCCCCCCCCCCCCCTAAACTGTCTACGTAGTTTATGAACAGCCCCTAAGGTCCAGCAAGATGTGGCCAATGACATGAAAGCAATCTTGAATAACTCTAGCATTAACATTATCTACTCCAGCCGATTTTCCTAATGAAAAACAAATAACTCTAAGTTCATCTAACGTAATTGGGTGAAAAACTTCAAATCTACAACTACTATTAATTGGCTGTTTTATTTCGTCAGGTTCATCGACCAATTCAATAGATTGATTAATCAATGAAACACTGTCTACAAAATAATCATTAAAAACTTAGATGCAATTACTTGGTCTGACTGTTCTAATATGCCATTAAAAGTTATGGACCGCGGTTTGCAATTACTAGGTTTTAATAAAGATGTCAAAATTTTCCATAACTCTTTGCTGTTGTTTTGATGCTGATCAATCTTCCTTTGTACATATTCACAACGAGTTTTCTTTATCGATTGTGGATACTTATTACGTGCGATTGTGTACCTATTCCAATGATTGTCATTATTTGATATACAAAACTTTTTGTACCATTTGTCCCTTTTCCATTTAAGACGCAAAAGATCCAAATTGTACCAGCTGTTCGAGTTTTTCAAAGAAACAAACTTTTGCTCAACTAGTTGATTGGTACACGTTTTCAAAGCGTTATTAAGAACAGCTGTAGATTCATCTAAGTTACCGGCCACGAATGGAAAATCCATGCTCCTCTCAACAAGATTCGAAACAGCTTGCATCGAATATTTCCTCCAGCACTTCAATTTAATCGTTTTTTTTTTTGTATTTATTCATGTCTCTTTCAGATTAGTTTAATGATGTGTGGGTGTGAGTGTTAGTGTTTATGGTTAATTGCACTTAGCTTTGTTTCGTCTCCTTCTGGTTCATCGTTGATCATAACATTGCATCTCTCTTACTTCTTCTTCTCAATGAATTTCACTTTTACTTCTTCTACCTTTTCTTCATCTTCTTTCTTCATCATCTTCGTGTTTTTTCGTAGCCTTCGTCCACCATCTTGATATTTTGTTGACGTGTCTCCTTCATCTTGCTGAATTGGCTGCGTCATCTTCTTTGTTGCTTAATGGTATTCTTCTTCATTCACTTTTAATCCATCTTCTTCTTTCTTCTCACCATAGTTCAAATTATTTTCTTTACTTCTTCATCATCTTCTTTCTTCATCTTTCTTTAATTCCATTGCTTTGATTTCCTCTTGCACGACTTCACGATTTACGCTTTATCTTCTTGATCTTCTTCGTCTTTTTCCGCTCCGCTTTTACTTCATCATAATTTTTCTTTTGATCTTCTTCTTCTTCTTATTCTTTCATCCCCTATCCGCATTGTTGTTGTTGTTGTTGTTGTTGTTTATTATTGACATTTTACATCCTGCGGATGCATTCATGTCAGTTCAATTAATTTTTGTGTAAACAGTGTGTGGGTGTGTTCAGAGTGATGTGAGGGTGAGTGTTAGTGTTTACGATACAATTCAAAATTCACTTAGCTTTCTTATCGTTTGCTCGTTTCCTGGTTCATCGTCTGCATGCTCATCTCATGGTTTACACTTCTTCTCCATAAATTTCTTCTTTACTTCTTCTATATATATATTCACCATCTTCATTCTTCATGATCTTCCATATATCTTTTCCACATTATTTTTCCTGGCCGCTTCAAATTTTCTGCAGTGCAGAATAATGTGAAGAACGTCAACAACGGTCCCACAGCATTCACATGCTGGCGGAGCTGTTTTCTTCAGCAAAAATTCATGCGTAACCCTAGTATGACCAATGCGCAGACGAGTGAGTATGCGTTGATCGGCAGAGCTGTACTGATCGATCCACTTCTTCGTTTCCCTTTTGACCTCCTTCAGCTTCACATCTGTCAATTGTGCCCAACGTGCTTCCCATAGCTGACGAAAGACTTGGTTCATGTTCTTGATGGAATCAATTCTTGGTACGGCAACGTTGATTGGTGGACTGTTTCGTGCTTCACTGGCTAGACGGTCTGCTTCTTCGTTACCGCGAATTCCGGCATGACCAGGGATCCAACAAAGGTGGATAGGCCGTCCACGTAGTAAGCGTTCGATTTCCTGGATCCACGGATGCTGCGATCTACCACTCTCTATGGCCGAAAGACAGCTGGCCGAATCAGACAGAATTATAACACATTCGGTTGATGCTCTTGCAGCGATGACGGCCGACTTGATTGCAAAGGCCTCCGCCGAAAAAACGCTACATTGTGACGGAAGACCTATTGCTTGCTGAATGCTGCTACTAAATACACCTGCTCCAACTATGTTCTCGCATTTAGAACCATCCGTATAAATAGCCAAAGCACGGCTAAACCGGTTAGCCAGCAACTCCTGCACGATGGGACGCACTGTATTCGGGGGGTCCCCAGCTTTCACCTTCTGTTTCACATCCCAAACAATATGCGGCTTGGGTTCATACCACTCTCGGTTGGCTAGACGTGTTCGTACAGCGATGTTTGGAAGCTCTACATCAATCGTCGCCAGGCGATCGGACGCTCGTTCCACAACTGGAAGATCGATATTCCTGGAATCCTTCTCCATCAAACGAATTGCAGCACGAATTATGGCTTGCATAATCATTAAATCGAATGGCAAAGTGCCTGCTTCAGCCATAATCGCTGGAATCGGACTGGTGACGTACGCCCCTGAGGCGAACCGGACCATCCGGTTGTAGATGGGTGCAAGAGTCTGCACCACCGAATCCTTCGCTCTACTGACGAGCCCGATACCGTAGATAAGTCGCGACGTGACGATTGCTGATCCGATACCCAACAGAGAATCGCGTTGCCCTCGTGGAAGTTTAGCCCCGATCATCTTCAAGATCCGCAGTCTAGAGTCGCACGTGTTTTTGACTACCTTGCAATGGTGTTTGAAGGACAGCGACCGGTTAAGGTACAGCGACCGGTTAAGGTTGACGCCAACAACTTTCAGTTGATTCGTCCTCGGTACAGCTGTACGGTCGATGAATATATCGTTGCTGGGTTCTCGACGGGCGTTGGGACTGCCGTAGAAAATTTTTGATTTTGTCGCGGAAATTGTGAAGCCGACGCTTTTCGCCCATTTGTCGACAGCTTTCACTGCAGCCTGTAGATCTCTATACAGCGGACGCTCCTTACTCCTCCGTACTACCAGCAAAATATCGTCCGCAT